ACGTGTGCAAGCCATTCTGCAACTTCCTTTACCTGCGACACATCAGACTCTCCATGCTTTTCTGGGTCTTATCACATACTGCAGGTCCTGGATACCCGAAGCATCAAAGCTCATGCAGCCACTCTATGATGCCCTCAGGAGTGAGCCCTTTCACCTCACTGAAGAAACTATCATCTGTTTCCACAATCTGAAAAGAGCTATTGCTTCTGCACCTGCTTTGGGCCTACCCAACTACCAACTTCCTTTCAATCTGTTTGTCTCTGAAAAATCAGGACATGGTTCCGGAGTCCTTACCCAGAAACATGGATCAAGACAACGACCTATTGGCTATTTTTCCTGCATGCTTGACCCTGTTGCGAGAGGTAGTCCCTCTTGCCTCAGAGCGGTGTTTACCGCCAGCGCCCTCCTGGACAAGACCAATGATTTTGTTCTTGGCCACCACCTCACAGTGTTGGCCCCTCATGACATTACTGCAATCCTGCAACAAACTCAACCTAAGCACCTTTCCTCCCAACGTCACCTTCGCCTACAGACCTCCTTACCTGACAATGTGAAACTCCAGAGATGCCTTTCCCTGAACCCAGCCACTCTTCTGCCACTTCCCAAGGGGGGAATTGTGCATCACTGGTACAGCTTGGATAGCAACCCAGAAGTTCGAGCAGATTTACAGTTGCCTGCACTTACACCTCCACATGATGAACAATCAGAGGCCCTACTCCACTGTACCTTGTGGTTTAGGGACGTACCAAGCCCTGATATGGACTATGAGGAAGAACTATTCCAGCTCAAAGAAATTCAAATTACCCTGACTGACTTATTCTGGGACTCCGCAGGTACCATGCTTATTTTGGTTCGCCTTCCAGAGAATGTAACACACCTCTATCACCATTGGGAAACAGCTATCCCACACATATCTCTCACCAGATCCCACAACACCTCATGGAAGGACTTAGGCCCGATGACCAGAACCTGGAACCAAATGACTCAAGAACAACTGACTTCTACGGGGATCAATAAAAAGACCATTAACTACTGCACAACAGGGTACCCCAGGTACCACACAGAGGCCTGTGAGGACCCACTCACCACAGACTGCAACCTCATTGATATTCCCCATGACTGTTTTGAACAAATGAAAATGGAAACACACCTACCAACTGTTTATGAAGCTGCATTACTCAACCCGGATCAAACACTATTTGTGGATGGCTCAAGGTTTGCTGATGAACAGGGACAATATCACACTGGATATGCAGTCACTACAGGATGCCAAGTATTACAAGCAGCTGCCCTACAATCAACTAAGTCTGCCCAAGAAGCCGAGTTAACGGCCCTGACTGTGGCCTGCAAACTGTCTGAAGGTCTACGCGTTAACATTTATACAGACTCAAGATATGCCCTGGGAGTGGCACACGATTTTGGCTTAATTTGGAAGACCAGAGGATTTCTTACAGCTACTGGTACCCCAGTAAAACATGGGGCAGCCATTGCAGAACTGATGGATGCATTGGAACTTCCAGCAGAAGTGGCAGTATTGAAAGTAAAAGCCCACGGAAGATTAGACACAGAAGAAGCACGTGGCAACCACTTAGCTGATCAGGCAGCTAAAGAGGCAGCACGGCAAGGATGGGAAGTGGACAGAAGAGTGGCCACAGATACATTACCTATCTACACTATGCAGACATTGCCTACAGATCTCAGGCTCCTGAAGGAACAACAAGCAGCTGCCACTCCTCAGGAGAAACAAAGTTGGAAGAACAAAGGAGCAGTACTCCGTGATGATGTTTACACCATCAATCTCAAGTTCTGCCTACCTAGAAGTATGTACCCAGCAGTGGTCCAATGGGCCCATGGGCCAGCCCACCTGTCAAAGCTCCTGATGAACTCACTGATTGACAAGTATTTTGAAGCACCAGGCATCACTACTTTAACACAGAATTACTGTAAATCTTGTACTATATGTGCTAAATGCAATCCTGGAAAAGTCATAAAGACTGCACCTAATCACCTAGCCAAGCCGCAATACCCCTTTCAGAGGATTCAGATTGACCACATTCAGATGCCAAAGAGCGGACGTTATGAATATGCATTGGTTATAGTGGACATGTTTTCAGGATGGCCAGAGGCCTTCCCAGTGACTAATCTCACCGCGAGGACTACAGCCAAGTACCTTCTGACAGAAATTGTTTGCCGCTACGGGGTTCCAGAAGTAATTGAGAGTGACCAAGTGACCTCCTTCACTGCCTCGCTAACACGGGAAGTCTGGTCAGCACTGGGGGTGACCCTTGCATTCCACACACCATATCACCCACAGAGTAGTAGTAAGGTAGAGCGCATGAATGGCACTCTGAAAGCCAGAATGCTTAAGATGTCACAAGAAACTAACATGCCCTGGCCTGAGAGTCTCCCATTAGCGTTGTTTAGTGTCAGATACACTCCCAGGGGAAAATACAGCCTGTCACCTTATGAGATTTTGTTTGGTACAGCACCCAGGTTAGGTTGCTACTTTCCCCAACAGCTTCAGATTCAGTCAGACGCTATGGTAGACTATGTGACTGCCCTCTCACATGCCTTGACCAAGATACATGCCCAAGTGTTTTCTTCTATTCCAGATCCTGAGTCGAATACAGGTACACATAAGCTACTTCCGGGTGACTGGGTTATGGTCAAGAAGTTTCTCAGGAAACACACCCTAGAACCGAGATTTGATGGTCCTTATCAAGTGCTCCTGATTACAGCAACGTCAGTTAAACTAGCTGGAAAGAGTTCTTGGATACACGCTTCACATTGCAAAAAAGTGCCTGTTCCAGAAGAAGCTGATCCTGCTGAAATATGAATTTATTATGTGTCTTGTGTTTTCTTATGTTGCTACACGTTGTCTGGGCCCAACAAGTGGCCATAACCAAAGATGATCACGTTTACACTTTCTGGTATAATTCTTCTAATACTGATGTAGCTACATACACCTTTGACTACTGTGACATAGTTACTTGTACATTTCCACAAACACAATATGCAGCCATATACAAGGACATACCTAACAAAAAGGATCCATACATTTGTGTGACTGGAGGAGTTTGGGGACACCATTGTAGTTCATGGAAAGCTGCCGGGTGGAACACAGGTAGGCCATGGGGCTACAGACCTCAAGTTGCACTGGACAGACTCGACAAAGACGGGAAACCCTTACTTTCTAGAATGACCCTGAGTAAACCCATAGGGTCAACTCCCATTAAACTTACCCTGAATATAGAACACCCTAGTCCAAGGGATGCAGGGGAATATGTGATGGGAATGTACTGGAAGGGAGGCGGCTCACATAATGCATTGGGGACATTTTACCTACAAGATATGCTTAACTCCTCAGACTGGGTAGGGACTACACATATGGTCATTAACCCATTGAAACCACACATTAAGACCCTACATGACATGGTAGCTATAGCTAACCCCACCTTTGAGGATACCATGGCAGTAGAAACTGGGTTTTCAGACACTAATTTGTGGCTAGAGTGGATGAGGTATAATGCTAACTCGCATAATAAGACTAACTGTTATGTATGTGGAGGAGCCAGACCCCATCTGGGCACAGTACCTCTGAGCTTACCTCCTGAAATAGAATTATGTGTACTGAGTTTGTATGCACAATCCACCACTAACTCCTCAACATGTGAATCCTGGAAGAAAGTTTACCCAATCACTCATGGACATGTGAAACCACCTGATGGAGTCACCATCTACCCAGGTAATTACACATGCTATTCAATACCTAAGAACACTGGGTTGTATCTGGGCAAATTCCCATCAGGATACTGCTCAACTTACCATAATCCACCTGCATCACTACTAATGAACCACACAAAGACAATCGGGGATATCTATTGGTTATGTGGTGACAAACAATTGAGGTCCCAATTAACTGGGCAATGGTGGGGGGAGTGTGCCCTAACCAAAGTTATAATGCCTATCCACATTATTCCAGATGGTAGTCATAACACGTTAAACCTTACACATGTACACTCTAGAACCAAACGAGAGGCTCCTATCCGAAGGAGCTTCGACCCCCATGTGTATATTGATGCCATAGGTGTGCCAAGGGGGGTGCCTAACAAATTCAAAGCAAGAGATGAAGTGGCTGCAGGATTTGAATCCCTAATTCCAATGATAACTGCTAACAAAAATGTCAATTGGATCAACTACATCTATTATAATCAGCAGCGCTTTGTCAATTATACAAGGGATGCCCTACAGGGCCTAGCAGAACAGCTACAAGCCACTACCCAAATGACATTCCAGAACAGAATGGCTCTAGATATGATTTTAGCTGAGAAGGGGGGAGTATGTAAGATCCTCCCCGAGACCATGACATGCTGCACATACATTCCAGACAACACTGGGCCCAATGGTAAGGTGACTATGGCCATAGAGAAACTAGATAGTCTTGCAGACGAGCTAAAGAAGAATTCCGGAGTCACTGACACGTGGGACAGATGGTTTGGGTGGATGAATGGTTGGCAAAGGACCCTCTTCCAGGTGGGAACAGCTGTTCTTATAATGATCATCATTTTCTTATTTTTAACCTGTTGCATACTCCCTTGTATGCAGAAGTACTTGCAGAAAGCGGTAGATAAGACTGTAGATGACGTGACCCCTACTTTCCTACATCAAGATATCACAGACCTCGAAGATGACACTCCACATACACCCCTACAATCACATCAGTTCAAACAGACGACTGCTTTCCTATAGGGATAGTGTAGGGAAAGCGTCTGTCTTAACAGGTGAGTCTCACGTGTGGAGATGTAGTGGACTAGCCACTGCGGGTTACCCGCGGAGTGAAGTGTTCGATGCTTGTTAAGACAGATAGGTTGCAGGCAACTAGGGACATATTAGGGACAGTAGCAGTTGTTATGGTAAATAGCCATTTTAGGGGGGACTGTTGTGGAAATAAGGTCTGCACATATTTCCTAGTTAGTGAAAATGTCTATTTACTCATTCCACGATATATCACATATAAAGCTAAGCACACATGTTTTAATCAAAATGGCTGCTAGAAGCTTCTAACCCCTCCTCCCCCCCCCTTCCCTTCTTAACACCAACTAACTACCTCGTGCAGCAAGATGGCGCCGGGAAACCGTGGGAGACCCTCATGGCCCCGGTGACATCACCTACAGTAGGCAGAGCATTAGAGCAACCACTTAACACCTAACCAATTATTGATGTATTATTCCATGTTATCTCTGACAATGCTTATGATGTAATTTTGCTTTAAAAGGGACCTGCCGTCCCCTCTGAATAAACTTTCCTCAAGTTATTCAACAACCTGGAACCTGTGTCTGGTGTGAATTACTTCAGGGAGCGTGCACGCATTGTTTCACTGATTTGGCCAGGGGCAGATACACAAAGAAATAATCAATACTTTGATTGATTTTTCCATTTCACCAACAGTGGGAATCAATGGATCCTACACACAGTCAAGGGTTTCAAAATAGACTTTCTCATTCCCCCTTTCAGGATACACCTCCAACACGTATATGGAATCTGTAACAGACGATTTAGCGTTACAAGCAAAGTTGGGCAACCTCATGGAGAAAGGGGCGATCGAACGGTCATCTTTCCCATGTTCCTTCCTCAGCAACATCTTCCTAGTCTGCAAAAAGACGGGAGATCTCCGTCCAATTATCAATCTGAGGAATCTGAATCAACATGTCAGATATTGCCATTTCAAGATGGAGGGCATCCATCTTCTCAGGGACCTACTTTGTGTGGGAGATTGGTTCTCCAGATTCGATCTCAAAGACGCATACCTTAGAGTACCTGTCACCCGCAACCACCGGGCTTTCCTTCAATTCCTATGGCAAGGAGAAATTTGTCAGTTCACATGCCTGCCTTTTGGCCTTTGCTCAGCATTATGGTGTTTCACAAAATTGATTAAACCAGTCATGGCTTTACTCTGTTCTCAGAGGATTCAGTCCATTATATATTTGGACGACATCCTGATCATGGCTCGGTACCCACACCTTCTCCGTCAACAGATGAACATGACAACTGACTTGTTACAAAACTTGGGCTTTGTTATACATTTTCAGAAATCGGATCTGGAGCCGTCTCAGACGGTTCAATTTCTCGGATTTCAAATAGATTCCATACAAGCAATCTTAGAATTGCCTTCCGCAAAAATCAAATCTATCAAAAAAGACATTCTAAAATTATTGTCGGCTCAACAGATCTGCCTTCGCAACCTAGCTCTTATAATAGGTCTTCTTTCCGCCTATATCCAGGGTATATTCCCAGGACCTTTACACTACCGAGCTATGCAGAGGTTAAAAACATTTTACCTACACCGGTCCACTTCCTACGACCAGTGGAAGCCTGGAATGGCAAAGCATTACTTTGCTTGCAGCCAGACTTCTTTCTGAAATCCGAAGCCAGCCTGCTGGGATGGGGTGCAACGTGCTCAGAGAGGGCCACCGGAGGACTATGGTCTCCGTTGGAACAGGCCTCGAACTAATTACAGGATGTTTTGCAATCCGCAGTTTTGCAAAAGATTTCTTCAATTGCTCCTTAGTATTACGCATGGACAATGTCTCCGCAGCGCGCTATGTGAATGCGTAGGAAAGCAGAAAGGAGGGGATGGGAGAGGATAACCAGCCCCTAACTCCCTACTACCTCAGCCAGATCTTTACACTGGATTCCAGGGAAGCCACCCTCTTGCACCCAAAAGGTACAAAACATGAGGGTGGCTATAAAAGTATATCTGATCAGCATGTGTCTCTGTGTGTGTGTACCTGTATGTCTGCCAGTGTGAGTGTATTTGTATGTCTGTCAGTGTGTGTGTCTGTATCTGTATATCTGTCAGTGTGTGACTGTGTGTATCTGTATGTCTATCAGTGTGTGACTGTGTGCGTGTATCTGTCTGTCTGTCAGTGTGGGACTGTGTGTTTGTATCTGTATTTCTGTCAGTGTGTGTTTGTATCTGTATGTATGTGAGTGTGTGACTGTGTGTGTGTGTATTTGTATGTCTGTCAGTGTGTGATTGTGTGTATATCTGTATGTCTATCAGTGTGTGACTGTGTGTGTGTATCTGTATTTCTGTCAGTGCATGTGTCTGTGTGTGTATCTGTATGTCTGTCAGTGCGTGTGTGTATTTGTATGTCTGTCTGTGTGTGTATCTATATGTCTGCCAGTGTGTGTGCCTGTATGTGTATATGTATGTCTGCCAGTGCATATGTCTGTGTGTGTATGTGTTTATATATGTTTGTCTTCCAGCGTGTGTGTGTATCTGTATGTGTATCTGTGTGTGTGTATCTGTATGTCTGTCAGTGTGTATGTGTGTGTATCTGTGTGTCTGTATGTCACTGTATGTGTTTTTCTGTATGTCACTGTATGTGTGTATATGTGTGTCTGTATGTCAGTGAGTGTGTCTGTATGTCTTTCACTGTGTGTCTTTGTATGTCAGTGTGTGTGTATCTGTATGTTGTCAGTGTGTGTATCTGTGTCTATCTGTATATGTACCAGTTTCAATATATATGTGTATGTGTGTCAGTGTGTAGATCTATGTGTATGTGTATCACAGTGTATGTGTATCACAGTGTGTGTGGCAGTGTTTGTGAAAATGTGCATACATCTCAGCAGTCAAACGCTACATACAAAGACACTCTTGCATTCAAATGTCAACACTACACACAAACACACCCCTACATTCACACAAACATACTCCATACTCTATACAAAAACATGTTTACAGTCAAATACACAAACAATGGCCTGATATGTAAATATGTACTTGTGACTGCATGTGTGACTGTTTGTGTCTTTATGTCTCTGAATGTCTGTGAATGACTGTGTCTGTATGTCTCTGTATGCCAGTCTGTCTGCATTTATATGACAGTTTGCTTGTAAGTGTAGACTGTATAACTATGTGTCTGTATGTCTGTGTTTGTTTGATTGTGTGTCTGTATATATTTGTCACTGTGTGACTTATTAACTATGTCTGTGTGCCTGTATGATTGTGTGTCTCTATTTTTGTGTCTTTGTGCATATATGTATTTTTGCCTGTTTATCTATGTTTGTATGGGAGAAAGAGACAGAAATGGGCCGAGGGGGAGAAAGAGACAGAAAGAGGCTGGAAGAAATAGACACATAAAGTGGCTGGTGGGAAAGTAAGAAATACTCAAGAGGGGTTGTAAGAGACACACTAGAGGCAATACATTCAAGATAGGGGATAGGAAGCACTAAAGAGGGTAAGAAATTCAAAAGGGGGGCTGCAGGACACAAAGGTAAAGATGCATTTTTTTGGTGGGGGGAGGAAGGGCAGCAAAATGCATCTTCGCCTGTGTAGTAAAAATTCCTTGCATCGTCCCTGTGTGTGTGTGTCTCTATGTAAGTCAGTAACTGTGTGTGTGTCTGTACGTATGTATGTGTGTATGTGTGTATATCTGTGTGTCAGCATGTGTGTGTCAGCATGTGTGTGTCAGGAATGTCTCTGTGTATTTATTTAAAATTGCTGCTTTCTCAGAGCGAGGGTTAACAAGAAGATGAACTGAAAAGTATTAGTTGCCCAAATGTATGCATTACAAAATAATACACAGAGGCCATTTTATATGCATTGTTTTATAGTTTTAGGAAGGGGGTAAAGTGGGAATTAGAACAGGCTACCACGGATTGAGATGAGGCAAGATTTTGGTAGGGTTTGGCATGCACATTTTATACCCTCAAGACCTAAGTGTTGCCAATTAAATCATCCTTTATTTTTCCTGTCCCCACGCAGCAGTCAGTAGATGTATACAACATGCAGGAAATAAATTTTGTATCTGCCTCCAATTGGCAGGTTCCCCAGGCCATGGGGTGAAATATTTACTAACAAACTAAATGTACTGAATATTTATCCTTCTCTAATGACAAACTCGGGTAAATATTTGCTTCTTGCCTTATTATTTATTTGCATTAAGCTTTAATGTACTAAATGCCTGGAGCCTCCCGCACAGAGCCCTCTGAATGAACTTTACTAACGCTCTATAAAATAGTTCATTCAGCAATATTACACTGGGTACAAACACATAGCAAACGCTCATTAATTAAGGTCTACGGCTGAAAGCAACATATTCTCACAATGGTTTGTGTTCGTTAAGCTGTAAAGTGTAAAAATCTTTTTTTTCTAATGTTTGTTTCATTCCCGACTCGCTCGGCTTTAGCTAAGAATGTTCTATGTGCATACTGTGCGTACACCTTATTCTGATTTACATTTTACATTTTTTAAGATGATGAGAATTTTTTCTTAAAGCTACATAGAGCAGTTATTTCTCGGGAGAGAGACGAATTAAACATGATCTGTCCTTTGCGTTAAGAGGCATATCATAATATATACTTATTAACATCTTTATTTATATAATGATTATACTACGATATTTCATCTAAATAAAAGGTGCATTTAATGTAAAGGATATTCAGAAGCCTCATGTTAATAATAAACATAGCTGGTGTCAGAGGTAAACATACACACTTAATTTAATCAGAAACAGTATAATAAAGCTGCAAGCAATATAAAAAAATATACATAAAGTGTCAGAAATGGAATTAGCTTCTCTCTCGCCACTTTATAAACCTACACACAAATAATGCTTTATTAAATTATTGAGGAGCCCTAGTCCTTTAGTCGCAATGAGCGATTATGAGAGTTACAGTATCTTTCTGAGCAAAATTATAATTTGTTTCTCCGTTCTTCGGTACAGAGAGGGTTAGGTACTGAGCAGTTACCCAGGACTTCATTTGAGTTGCATGACTAAGAATTTACTTGCCATGTAATTAACTGTCCGAATTTCATTTTATGATGGACAAAACCAATTAGTAACTTCTTAGAAGTTGGACTTAAAGAAACTGTCTGATGAAATGAATTTATGTAGTGTGCAACCAGGTGAAGGTCATTTTAAATCTAATTAAAAAAAACAAAGCAAAACAAAACAAAACAAAACAAAATCATATAAATATAACAAAACAACAGCCATAAAAAAACAGACTCATGAGTATCTACTGATTCATGCGATATTTTATTTAAGGAGCTGTACCATCATGGAAGCAGAAGAGAAATCAGTTTGCTGTTAATCCCTTAGCCTTACAAAATATTTGAATCTAGGATAAAGCATATTTAAAAAAGGAAATGAAAAAATCACGAGGATCTATGAATAAATGTCAAGTGATGAGAATAAGTCACTTAGACATCTGATATTTAATTTCTCGCTATTTCGG